ACACCCTCTTAATTTTTGCTTAAAAAACTCAGAAATGAATTAAGAATCCTTAACTTCTCTTTTTTAGTCGACAAATGAATTAGTTTTAATGAAGCACCGAGTCATGCATTTCATTTGTAAAATAGAATTGTAAATTATTTTATTTTATTTTTTTTTATTTTTATATCACGATGGATGAAAATATGTGTAAGATAGGCATGGACGGATGTAGGTAGCTCAAACCAACCCCAGCCAATTTTTTTCCTTATACAAAGTCGAAGATTTTTTAGTTTAGTCTTGATTTCGTCCTTGAAGTTAGGTGATCAAATTGTAAAACATAGTTAGGTGACTAACACAAAATAGATGGAAATTATGTGACTAACACCCAACCAACTGACAAGTTAGGTGACCTTCAATGAAATTATCCTGCCTACTTCTACTTTTGTAACTTCGAAACGTGGCATAATCTCCCACGTCCGTTTCACATATAAATATCCTCTTCATCTCTGAGACAACGTCGCATTTTCACAGTAACAAAATCTCTCTCTCTCTCTCTCTCTCTCTCTCTCTCTCTGTATTCTCTTTCGTTCGGATCTATTTCGAAGATACAGAAGCACACGAGGCTATATATTCACAATCTTGTGTGTACATGCAAATGTTTGATTTATTGCGGCGGTCTCTAATTCGCTTGGTGCAGGTCGGGAACTTTCTTCGCCGGTTATGTCGTTTCAACTTTCACGTGAATATTCCAAACGCCAAAATCGTGCTCATATAAATATGTATGGATTTCTGTATGTATAAACAGACTAATTGATGTCGTTGTATTTGGCGAAAATCAGGTTCCCGCCTTGCACTAAGCAAATTAGAGACCGCGGTGAATGTTACATCGTAAAGGACGGTGTTTCATCTTATTCCGGTGGATCTCTTTATTGATTTGGTTCAATTGTAGGTTTGGATTTGATTTGTTTTCAGCTGAATGCGTTGGAATGACTCAGATAATTTACGACTATTCTATTTGAGTGACAGATCTTTTGGACTTTGCAGGTATGTGCTTGTTTTAAAGTTTTTTGTTCAAGAAAAAGACATGAGGAAAATATGGAAATAGGATGATTTCTAATTGGAATTTTCTGAGATAATTAATTCATTTTGAGTGGCTGTTTGTGTATGTTTATTTATTGTTTAAATTCTGAGCTTTTTCCTTTTTATTTTTATTATTATTATTATTTTTTAACATACAATTAATCAAGAAGCAATCAATTACTATTAAAAAAATTTTTGAGGTGAAAAGTAATTATTTTTCTTTCTTTCTGATTTCCTTTTTTCCTGACAAATTCAGAGAGCATTTTGATTTTCCATCGGAATATTTGATGGATCTTAGTAAAAATGTCAGAATTTGTGCAAATAAGTGCTACCAAATCTAATTTCCCTCGTATATAGTTCTCGACTTAAAAATTGTGAATTGTTGGCTTAGACTATCTCAGCAAAGTTTGCCAGTTATGCTAGCAGATATTTGGGCTTCTCATTATTTAACATTTCTGGATTCAAGCGAATAGATACAGGGGCGTGTGAGTTGAATTTTGAATTTTATGTTTACATGGTTAAAAAATTCAACGTTTCGTGGAAAATATCCATTTGCTAGGACATGGAAAAGAAACACTGATACCTCTGAAGCCATAACATATTCAATTTGTATGCCCTTGTCAATGTGATTGAAAGTTATCACATAAGCATATTTCTTACAAGTGCATTGAATTATGTCTATTATTTTTTTGTTTATAGTGTATTCTGGAAAGTTGACAAACAGTTTTCACTTCTGCTTCTGCCAAAGACAAATTGTTGAACATGCTTATGTTTTTTATTGATGCTTAGGATGTGGTCTTTTATTGCACACAGGCTTGTTTTTGTACTTCCTTTACATAAAGGAAATTCCTGATTTGACTCTAGAAGGGAATAGAAAGAAGGGAAAGAAAGTCTCCTTACAATATTATGTTCATTTATTTCGTTTTAGTAGTGATTTCTGAAAAAATTATTTATTTATGCATGTGTATATGCTTTACAAGTCTAATTTATAAAAATATTTGGGCTCATGGATCAATTAATTCATTACATAAACCTGAAAGCACACATATTTAGGATTCAATTTTTTCCCTTTTTGCTGACAATTAACTTGATACAGAAAATTTTCACCTTGCTTAAGGTTTCTTTATCTGTTCATTCTTTTCTAAATTGTGCTTTATGTTTTTTCTTTGTTATTATTATTTTTTTTTATGACAACTGTTTAACATTCAAAATTTTGGTCATTGGAACTAACGAGCTCTAAAAAAATTCTCTAGAGTATATCTGAATGCAAATTCATAATTCGTGGAATTCGTTCTTGACGAAACTTTGGGCTGAAATATTTAAAAGTTTTAAGAGTTTTCTGGTCTTTATGCTTCTTCAAAAGTTATGGCTGTGGTTCTCAATACTTACCCATTTTATATCTCATCAAAGATACAAATTATAATTCTTCTGCATCATTGTATGATCTACATATAGCCATTATTAAATTCAATTTACACTTCAACTTATACTTAAGTCAATTGAATAAGAAATTATACTCATGGAACCTTATTTTCGCACATATTGTGTCCATTTTTAATTATTGCCCTTGTTTGAGCCCCATTTTTGTGAAGTAAATGAATTTTTGAATAGTGTATTGATGAGAAATGTGTAGTTAAAAAAGGGTAATTGGCGCAAAACATCCTTACCTTTCGAGATTATTGTGGAAAACGTCCCTACCTTTCATTTTTTGGCATTTTTGCCCTTATTTACCACCTTTCTTGCGCTGAAGGTCCTTTTCACTGTTTTTTGACGATTTTGCCCTCCATTCAAATAAAAGAAAAAGAATAGAATAGAAAACAAAAGAATTAATTGCAACTAGTACCCCAAAATTTCAAAAAATTACAAATTAGTAATAAATATAGGAGTTAATAGCCCAAAATGTTTACTAAACTTTGCCAAAGGTCCAAAAATGTCATTGAACTTTTTTAAATACAAAAAGAAAAAAAAAACCAAAAAAACCAACAAAAAAAATTGAAGAAACGGGCCCCACCAACAAAAAAAAGGACCAAAAATAATAATAATAAAAATAAAATAAGGAATGTGAAAATGGAGGAAGGTGAAAAGTAAACCAAAAATTATTTTTTATTTTTTCAATCGTACATTTTTAATCAAAATTTATTGAAAATTTTATTTTTAGCAAAACTAATCTGTATTTTTTTTTTATTTTTAAAAATAAAATTTTCAATAAATTTTGATTAAAAATGTATGATTGAAAAAATAAAAAATAATTTTTGGTTTACTTTTCACCTTCCTCCATTTTCACCTTCCTTATTTTTTTTGTCCTTTTTTTGTTGGTGGGGCCCGTTTCTTCAATTTTTTTTTTGTTGGTTTTTTTTCCTTTTTGTATTTAAAAAAGTTCAATGACCTTTTTGGACCTTTGGCAAAGTTTAGTAACCATTTGGGCTATTAACTCCTATATTTATTACTAATTTGTAATTTTTTGAAATTTTTGGGTATTAGTTGCAATTAATTCTTTTGTTTTCTATTCTATTCTTTTTCTTTTATTTGAATAGAGGGCAAAATCGTCAAAAAACAGTGAAAAGGACCTTCAACGCAAGAAAGGTGGTAAATAAAGGCAAAAATGCCAAAAAATGAAAGGTAGGGACGTTTTCCACAATAACCTCGAAAGGTAAGGATGTTTTGCGCCAATTACCCAGTTAAAAAATAAGGAAAATTTTTTTATTTGCGTACAATATTATTTTATTGAAAAATGTATGGTTGAAATGATGTCAAATCACTGTTGAATAATGTATTTTAGTTGAAAAATGGGGCTCAAACAAGGGCATTCATCTTATGCTACTCCTGCATCTTGAGAAATGACATTTCATGAATTTTGGATCCTTGTATGACTAATTTTTTTCTTAGGATTTTATCATTTTATTGTCTGGGTACCTTGTTTGCTTTGGGTTATGCACAGATTTATGCATGATGAGTGGGTGAGAACATGTATTTCAATCAAATGCATAATATTTTTCAATCTGCAGTTGACACGTCTTTATCATCTCTGACTTGTCTGAAATGTGTGCCATGTTTATTCTATGTCCTGGAATCTCATAATTGGAAAGTTAAAGTATGATGCACCTCCTTCCAATGCAATGTCTGTTTGTGTCTACCATCTGTTGGCATTGCAGCATTATCGGAACGTTAATTCAATCAAAACATTTGTGTTATAGCATTCGGTATGTTTGAACTGTCTTTCACATTTGATTTATGCTGACTAATTTGTTGGTGGCTTCTATTTGATTCCAGTTTATATGGTGGGCTAGAGCGAAGTTTGGGCTGTATTGCCATGATGTCCTTGGATTGATCATGTTGGGTCAATATTTTGGACCTCTTGACTTTCAAGCAAAAGGTCAGAATGACATTGCTTGAATAGATTGTCTATTTGCTGACTTTGTGTGTTTCTTCATTTTCATATATAAGTTTCTTATTCATGGACTATGTGGGACACATTCCTATGGAAGTAGCAATTTTAATGCCAGAAGTGTGTTACTCATGGATTATGTGGGATCTTCAACTAGATAAGCAACAACAGTAGGGCTTAAATGCATTATGTTTTTATTTGTTGAAATCTTTTTTCTTTCCATCTTTTTGGATAAGGATTTTTATATCTAACATTTTGTTATTCATACTTGTCGGTATTAGGTTTTGTCTTCAAGCCACAAAATCTTCTATCTTTCCATGGTGTGCGACTTATATAAGTAGACATGACTTTGGACATGGCTTGCTCACAAGAGAAGGTAAAATATTACGCTGATAGATTGATGAATAAAAGCATTTGAGATACGACTGTTTAGAGTCTTTTTAAATGGCAAAGACAATACATATGCAGCAATTTTGATATTTAAGTGCAATTATATTTCATTATGTTATGTTATTCATAATAATTCAGTATGATCAAAAAGTTATATCTGCTGCATTAATGAGCATGAAATCATATATATGATAGTTTTCCATGCCTTCTACTAACCCTAATAACCAGAAATAGCTACCATTCTAAGTTAAATATGCCTCTTCTTGCCACTTGGTACAACTACATTATGTCTAGCTCCAACGGAATAAAATCTTTTGTGACCACCTCAAGCGATATTAATTTTCACGTACCTGTTCCTATTCTAAGTAATTTTATGGAGATCATGTTTCTTGTGAACTTTCTCTAGGTCTATTAAGATACGCCTCAACTATCAAATCTGTCATTTCTTTAATTTATCCTAAATGATTTGATTAACCTCCATTAGTTGGAGTATATTCTTAATATACAGCTATGGACTTGTTGTACTTAGGTAACACAGTATTTTAAAGCCTAGTTCGTTTGACAACTTACCATTTAAATTGGTAGGCATCTTTTGCTACCGTAGAATCCTTGTCATTTCAATTTACCTCGTTCATTACATTTTTAGGTTAGGCATGGGTACTGAATTTGCTCTAATTACCTGTATTTATTCGGGATTTTGTGAAATTGTTTTTTGATTTATGATTGTATAAGTTACTGGCAATAATATTAAGGCTGTAGAATTTTATTTATTATTCCACGTCAAGGCTATTGTTTGGGGCACTCTGTATGTGACTATTTTTTTTGCATTAAGTTTAGCATTTTCTGTCAAGAGGTTCGAGCATATGTGCCCAACTTCATCCTTCTCTCGTCCCCTCACTATACTTTGTGTTTTCAATTCTATATGTATTGTTATTTCCTTCATTCAAGATCTATCTAGTAAATGGCCATTGCAGAATTTCAAATTATATTGCAGTGTGCTTGTGTGGTAGTGAAATCAATCACTCTGCTCCATGAGTATTAATCTTGCTTCTTGTAGAGATGTCTTTTTCGTGGAGTATGTTCAGGTGATTTAGCGAGTTTTTTTCTGTACGCCAAACTCAGGGTCATTGATTTCTTTGTTTTCAGCTGATTTATTTCCTGGCCCCAATTTTATCTGGTCCATTTTGGTTGAGTTAACATGAATTATCTATTTGTGGTGTAATATATGCATAGTTGTACTTTACCTAGAGTATTTAATGAAAATTAACTCCCCCATCCTAATTTTAGAAGAGTTTCTAGGAGGAAAATCATAATATATTTTAGACGAAGCGGTATGACACTTGAGTAAATGCTGGGAAATCGTTTTGCAATTACAGTAATCTCCTTTTAGATAAGATACAGATTACCTTAGATATACCAAATCCACTTCCCACCTAGTAAATCTATCCATGCAGGCCTGTTTATTACTTTCCCCTCTGTTTCAGAAACACCTAGATAAAATTGTGCATGCCGCGTGCCTATAACCATGTCCACATGTAACAATTAGTTCCTCCCATTGGTGGCACAGTTTGCAACAGCTGGCAGTGCCAGTGACACATGGTACCATATAGTATATCTTTTCTAGCTATATATTCCCACCGATTCTCTTCTATAAATATGAAAGGGTCTTTTCTCTCCCCAATCACACCTTTCTCCATCTCCCACACAGAGATTTCTTATATAGAGATATAAGGGTATAAACCTAGAGATATAAGATCATCTGTCTATTTGGGGGAAAAAAGTAACTACTTGCAGCAGTCTCTAATTTGGTTGGTGCAGTTCGGGAGTTCCTTTGCCTGTGATATTGATGTCTGGCAAAAGTCATGCTCCTGAGTTGTGCCAATTGAATCAGAGCCTGCAGCAAATAGCATCTCAACGACGTTGTTTAGTGGGATTCAGATGGATCCTTTTGCTGATGTACCAATGGTTTTATTGATTTGTTGTTTAGCGACTTCACTGATTTATTTATTTATTTCTACTTTTATGATGATCGAATAGCACTCGATCTCACCGATTAATTAATGAACATTTATTGCCTTGCCGCTCTTGGCGTTCTTATTAGGCAACAGCTGATTAGCTACTCCTCTTACTACACGTCGCTTACGTAGCGAACACCTAGATTTGGCTCTATCCAAACTTTTGGTAATTTCTGTTCACCTAAATGCATTAAAGAAAAATGAGGATTATAGAAGGTGGTGTTTTCAATTTACAATATTAGTTCTTAATTTCAGTTTTCTGAAATATTTGATTTATTTTAATGAATATGTTACTTTTTCATTTACATTTACAACTTTTCAATTTAGTTTTCCATTTCACGACAATGCTTGCATGTATTGAAAAAGAAGATAATTAACTTAAGAAATCAACATATTTTTTCCAATCCCATTTTTTATTCTTTTTTCTTCCTGCCCTTCACAAATTCTTAGATAGTTCTGTAATTAGATTATAGATTGTTGCATTGTTGGAGTAGTTTTTAAAAATATTTATGACCATTTGTCATTGCTATAGATTGCATACTAGACCAAAAAAAGGTTTTGCCATAATGGGTTGGATACTCTTACGAGTTGTTTGTTGGACGTAGTAGGATTCCATCTTTTCTTTTTCTTTTTTTGTGCGTGAGTGCAGCGGAGACACATGTTTATATATTTGGTGTTGAACCTAACATCTAACATTGACAAATATTCTAAAAACTTCAATCTACATCCCCTTCTTCAGTCCCAATATAGTTGAAATATCTTGCTTCTTCTCTGTCTCAATCTACATCCCCTTACGTCAAGAGTTCGAGCAAATGTGCCCCTACATTCTTCTCTCACCCCCTCACTGTATTATTGAGTTTTTAGTTCTGTATCTATCATCATTTCGTTCGTTTAAAATCCATCTATGTAATGATCTTTGCATCATTTCTAATATTTATATTTTTTTGGCATATTGCATCGTGCTTATGTGATCGTGAAATCAATCACTCTATTCCATGAGTGTTAATCTTGCTTCTGATCGACATGTCTTATTCATGGAGTATGTTCAGTTGATTTAGCAAGTCTTTCTCCTCAACCCCATCTTAAGTGTCATTGATTTTTTGTTTTCACCAGATTTATTTCATGGACCCAATTTTAGCTGGTCCATTTTTTGCAGCGTTAGCATTTATCTTTTCTACTTGATAGTATATGGAATGAAAATTAACTACCTAATCCTAATATTAGTAGAATATCTAGGATGGAAATCATATTATTATTTTTTTTTTGACTAGGTACAGATTTCAGTAATTTTATTTTGACTAGGTACTGATTACAGTAATTTTACAAAATCCACTCTACCTAGTAAATCTGTTCCAGCTATATATCTCCACCCTTCTCTTCTACAAGCCATCCTCACAGCTCAGACCCGCACCTTTCTACATCTCTCACACACAGATTTCTTGTATAGAAAGATGAGGGCATAACCTAGAGATACAAAGGTGGTCTGCCTATTAGTTGGAAAGAAATTTCACGACTTGCAGCAGTCTCTAATTTGCCTGGTGCAGCTCGGGAGTTCCTTTGCCTTGGCAAATGATGTCTGGCAAAAGTTATGCTCCCGAGTTGTGCCAAATGAATCAGAGCCTGCAGTGAATACCATATCAACATTGTTGTGTAGTGAGATTCTGATTGATCCTGTTACTGATGGTTTTATTAGTTTGTGATTTAGTGACTTTAATGATTAATTTATTAAAACTTTAATGATGATCGAACAGCACTAGATCTGATCATTTTAATTAATGAGCACGTGTTGCCTGGCTGCCCTTTGCGATCTTTATCGAGCTAAAGCTGATTTGGCAATTCCTGTTCATTTAAATGCAGTAAAGAAAAATGAGGGATCAAATAAAACGGTTGTTTTAGCTTTGAATTTACAACCTTTTGAAACGTTTAATCTATTTTTAATGAATATGTTACTTTTTCTTATAAATTTAGGGCTTTTCAATTTTGTTTTCCATTTCTTGGCAGTATGTGCTTGTACTGAAAAAGAAGATAGTTAACTTCTATGGAAATCAATTATATTTCTTTCTAATTCCTTCTTTTTTTCTGCCTGCCTTTGGCAAATTCTTAGATTCTTCTGTGTCTCAGAAGAAATTATAGATTCTTGTAGTCTTTGAAAAGTTTTTGAAAATGTATATGGGTATTTATGATTGCTATAGATTGCACCATTTAGCAAATAACTTTTGGCAAAATGGGTTGAATACTCTTACTAGTTGTTTTTGTTGGATTAGGATACCATCTTTTCCTTTTATGTGTGCGCGCGCAGCAGAATCACAGGTTCGTGCATTTGGTGTTCAACCTGACAATTAACATTGATAAATCTTTTGGAAACGTCAATCCATATCCCCTTTTTCAGTCTCAATATGGTTGAAGGATCTTGCTTTTTCTAGGGCTTTTTTGTTCTTAATAGTAAATGGCACGTGAAAGTGCATATCACATTTCAATCTTGCATTCACATCTCCAGTCATTTACCTTGATATTTTATGCATCGCTGCATTTGATGTTGTCCATTTTAATGGTTGCCAATTTTTAAGGAAAAAAATATAATTCTAATTTGTTTGTGTGACTTAAAAGCAATCTTTGTTTACCATCTTCTCCTATTTACCCTGTGAACTTTTATCCAATGTGGCCTTACTTATTATTTGTAAAATTTGGTCAAAATAATATCTTTAGCTCTACAATTAATTCAGATTTAATTGTTGATAACAATTAGTCGCATGATCTGCTGAGAAGTGGAGACCTATAACTCCATCCAATTTAAGAAGTAAAGACGTTTATGTAGTTGTGACGAGTTCTCTTGATTAGGTTACCATGGCCCATAATAAACCTGGGACATGTTGGGGTTCCAGTGCCTGAAATATAGTGCATCTGTCGGCATGTTCATATGTACAATGTACGTAGTTGGACTCAACTAGATGTATATATTGTGCAAAAGTAATTTCCTTTACTATTTTGGTTTCAGGCAAAAATTTCAACCTCGTGACCACGAAGCTTAAGGTGGTTTAACGCCATCATGACATTTTCTTTAGCATGTTGTCTATGTTTCGTATTGACACTTGGTCGAACCACTGGGCCGACCCACTGGTCCCATGGCCCACTCCTTCCGAACCGTTTGGCATCTTATTCGAGGCCCATTGGCCCCTTGTTGGTAGAAGTTCACCCACCAGCATACTATAACAACGCCAGACGTGGTCCAAGTGCTTCCGTTGAAGCTAATATGCCGAGGCCCTTCTTTAGCCGAGGCCCTTCCTTATCCGAGGTCCTTCCCCTTTGAAATCTTGAGGCTCTAGGTTGCACTCCTCCTCAGAGATTCGGTCTTACACAATGATCCTTCTTGATTGATGGAACGTTCATCATAGAATAGAAGTGTCTTGTCTTATCAATGTAGTGGCAGAGCCGCCAACTAATAAATGTGCAGCAGGCTAGGAAGTCAATTATGATGCCTATAACTTGACATGTAAACTTAAGAGATAAGATCACGTATACTCCCAACCAAGGTCCACGATCTAAGTTGTAAAACTATAAATACTCTCCCATGTATCTCTCAAAATGTTAATGCAATATTCAACACAAGAACAAATATAACATTCCTTACTTTTTACTCTCTTGTAACATACATGAATTCATACTCGCATTTTACAAACATCGATTGATAATTATTGTACAATCGTTATGCAAATATCTCGTCGAATTTTGAATGTTCTCATCTCGCGCCTTTGAGTTGCTCCCATGCCTTCTTTTGCTATTATTTCTAGACCGTCCACGTGTATTAACGTGTTGGAAAAGGCTTACGTGTGCAGAGGTGGGTCCGGTATCTGTTGACAACATCTTCTGGGGTTAACAGATTGACACCGTCTGTGAGAAACCATACTATAACCACGAGCAACCGTGTAGAGAAAGCTTATCGAAAAGAATATTCGGGCATCCCCCTTGAAAAAGGATTTGTTCTTGGAAAAAAATAAGTGGAAGTCCCATAACTTAGCAACTATCTGAGATTGAAACAGAAGAGGATAAGTTCAAATGAGGATGTACCCCCTAGGAGGGTAAGAGAAAACGTGGGGATGCTCTGCCCCTGCAGCTCGGCATCGGCCTCACCACCACCACAAAAGAGGTGGCATGCAGATGACCGCTCAATTGTCAAGGGAGATGGCCACCATAGCTGCAAACATGAGGGACATTGCTAGTCAAAACTCTCATGGCCCAAATGCAAAGCCAGGGAGGCTTCCCTATTCCTCTCTATGTACCCCAAGGGCACTACTACCAAGATAAGGAAGTCCAAAGCCAAAGGGTTGTATTATCATAATACAACTGAGGCAGAAGCCCCACTTAGAGGGAAGTAGAAGTTGATGTTTTCTCCAATTATGTTGCAGGCCAACCTACTAAGGCCCAGTATAACGAGGATAACTTTTCCACCAATATGTGAGCCAGAACAAAGAACTAGGAGGTCTAACAGCGTCTTTGACAGAATTAGCCCAATATGTGAGCCAGAACAAAGACCTAGGAGGTCTAACAGCGTCTTTGACAGAATTAGCTCCGTAGAACCGAGGTACAGGCAACAACAGCAGCAGTAATGCGAGCCTCAGAATAGACCACAACCTCCACCTCCAATATCTCATCAGCCCGAGGAAAGGCATGAAAATGCCCCCGTGCTGCTCTGCCTAGAAATAGGCACCAAAGGAGGGAAGAGGAGGCTAGGACCCAAGCTGGACCTTCTCATCAGCCACCCAGGTACGAAGCCAAAGAGAATAATGACTCAGATGAGCAGCAGAGATCCTGTGACTTGGACGACGATGATGAAAATCTATCATTTTCAAGGGAACTAAGAAATGCCCAGGTTCCGAGCCACTATGTGATACTGAGATACTAAAGTATGATGGGAGAGACGACTCGGAGAAACACCTAAGCACTTATAAAACTCATATGAGCCTTAGAGGCGCCACCCCAGCTGTGAAGTGTAGAGCTTTTCATTTGACACTTAGTGGAGCGGCTGAAATCTGGTATAGTCGATTGTCGCCTGGGAGCATAAGGAGCTGGCTAGAATTCAAGACCACTTTTCTAAAGGAATTTGCGATGAGCAAGGAGGGGGGGACCCCCATCCAGCGCCTTCAAGACATGAGGCAGGCATATGGAGAATCCCTGAAAAACTTTTTATCACACTTTACCGATGAAATGATGTATTGCATGCAAGTTACCGATCGTGAAGCTTTGTCAATCCTAAGAGGAGGTCTGAATATGAACATCCTTTTCTGAAGGGACGTGCAAAATCAAGATCCCACCACTTACGACGTCCTGCTGGAAATGATGAGGCGGGAGATTATTAATGAATAATTAATAGAGCACCGAAATTGGGCCAGTAGAGGCCTCCCACCTTAACAGAGACAACGCGCTAGGGGACTGACCTCCCACTTGATGGACTACCAGATGAACCCACCTGGTAATGAAAATTCAGGGCAAGCACTTGCCACAACCACTTTGAATGCAATTCCAACTTTGGCATATGAAGATGTCAATCCAACTACCACCGACCCACAAGCAGGAACTTCACAATAGCCCTCCCGTAGAGAAAGAGGTCGGGGCCGCGGTTCAGGACCTAGGAATAGGCATAATCAAAACCCCCTCTGAGGGCGTTCCTTCCCAGAGATCCGGTCTTACACAAGGATCCTTTCTGAGTGATTGATGGAACACCCATCATAGAGTACAAGTGCCTTGTCTTATCGATGTAGTTGCAGAGCCGCCAATTAATAAATATGTAGTAGGCTAGGAAGTCAAGTATGATGCCTATAATTTGATATGTAAACTTAAGAGATAAGGCCACGTATATTCCCAACCAAGGGCCACGATCTAAGTTGTAATACTATAAATACTCCCCCATGTATCTCTCAAAAGGATAATGCAAGATTCAACACAAGAACAAATATAACATTCTTTACTTTTTACGATCTTGTAACATACATGAATTCATAATCGCATTCTACAAACATCAATTGGTAATTATTGTACAATCGTTATGCAAACATCTCGTTGGATTCCAAACGTTCTCGTCCCACGCCTTTGAGTCACTCCAACACCCCCTTTTGCTATTATTTCTAGACCGTCCACGTGCTTAACATGTTGGAAAATGCTTACGTATGAGCGAGTGAGTCCGATATTTGTTGGCAACATATTCTGAGGTCAACAGTCTACATGGACAATTCTTGTTATATCTTATTGTGATTCTATAGAGATAATTGATTTTTCTTTTAGCAGTCTTTCTATTCACTATTTAGAGAAGGAAATCTTTATGTTTCATATGTTCTTAGACCAGTCCTAATTCGTTGAGAAATTATAACCTTTAATATCATCTCCTAAGTTCAATTTCTATTTCTAAAGTTGTACTTCATCCTATTCACTAATCAAATCAATTTATGTCTCTCGAGTTCAAATTAATCTTATCTAGTTGAGTTAACTAATTATATTTCTACGTGAAGTTGAATAAGTAGTCTCCACTAATTAAACGCATTAAATCATTTAGGAATTCAATTAAAGGCTGCAACAATAATAAAAATATATTTCTATCTTTTACCCATTTATTACTCACATCTTGATTGTTACAATTCAAAAATTATGAATTAGTGATCATGTAATTCAAGCATTGAAAGCCAAAGTAGAATCAATACTTCAATCACTCAACGATACAAATATCAAGAATTGAAATAAATGGTCAAATTTAGGTTGCATCTTTTGTCCCAACTAATAGTTTAATTACTTATAATAGAAGAAGAAGAGCACATAAGTATTTTAGAATACATGTCTGGATTTAACGAAAAAAAGAGAGAGGATGGATATTTTGTATCGAGAATTCGACTTCTTCATGCTGAAGTCTTGAAACCTTAACTTTCTTGATCTCTAATCTTTGTATGTTTCCTTATTTTTCTCCTCCTCCTCCTTAATTTGACCTAAATTAAGTTCTTATATGGTGCTTAAACCGTCTTGAAAATTGAATGCTTAAAAAAGCCAAAATGCTCCTAGATTAAAACCTTATTTGAAACATTTTAAAGCCATCGACGAGCCATGGGTCAACCTCGCAGCCTGTGCGGCTTGTCCATGAAAAACTACCAATCTTCAGTGGTGAAGTCTGACAATGGAACGTTTGCATTTTGATCCCACTTCAAGTTTCTTGTACGATTTTGGTAATTTCGGGTTCAAATCTTCTATATTACTCCGGCAACTCCTGAAAGCTTTTACCTTGGTCCCCACTCTCCATACATCCAAGATTTGTCCTCTTTAAGTTCTAGAAGTGTGCAAGAGTCCCCAAACTTTTCATAAGTTGAATTTCACTCCCGGAAATTGTGAATTTCCTCCCATTAAGCTCAAAATCTTCCACGTACCTCCAAAGTCTTGATTTTACCTATGATAACAACATTTACACGAAATTAAGTAGAAATTCGCTCAATTTGTAAATATACATCAAGTTTATAAGAACATACCACAGTGTAAAATACACTTATTAACGCTTTAAACAAAATCCTTGTTCGTTTTGAATAAAATTACCTACTTAAACATATAAACAAATAACAATAAAAATCAATTGATTAGGTAGCACATTTGTTTCATGTTTTGAAAGTGGGCTAACAAATCATAAAAGGCTTCTGAATCACGCCATCAAAATTAATTTTTACTTATTCAATGCTCGCTCGATGTGTGTGTGTGTGTGCATAGTCAATCCATTAAGTTAGTCATATCCCGACCTACAATGGTTTATTATTTTATTTCTCTTTCGTGAGATGGACATCCCAACTTAATATTCAATCTCTCACCCAATTGCTAATCCAAAACATTCAACTATTTTCATCAATTATGCTCCAAAACTCTGCACGGGACATTAGCTCTTTAAATGGCTTCCCAAAATATTCAACTATTTCATCAACGGGACATTAGCTTTAGATTTCCTCCAAAATTGAGGCCGAATGTTCGCTTTATTAACTGAATTTTAGTTAGGATTTGAAGTGTGAGTTTTCTGTCTCTTCTGGAGTTCTATTTTTGTCCTTCGAAAAATCACCACCTTCTACTACCCCAGAAGATTGCACCGTCTCCTCAAATCTTTTCTTTTATTTTCATGCTTATTTAGGCCATCATCACCATCTAACCATTAGCAATCTTCTTCACAGTGACCTATATGGCTATATTTCATTCAACAAATTAATATCGGATTTCTCATACAAGATCTTCTGCCTTTGTGCCAAAAGATCCAATTCCACACAAATCCTAGCAATACTTGGACGATTTCCACTAGCCGATGCCCAATCAAGTTTAAGGAGAATATCGATAGTGCTTGAAAGATAAAATAGGGGCAATTTTTCAAATAAGAAAATTGGAAGATGAGAGAAATTTATCCAAATATGTGCAATCGACGAGTCAATATCCAATAGTAACGATGTAGCTCCGAATATTCTCAATATAGAAGACCTTCATCCACATGCTAATGAAATCCTCTTTCTTTAATGGAAGTAATAATAATATATTTGAGGCCAAGAAAACCAACCTCAAAGTCTCTAACAAAGCTGAATGAATGAAAAGCTTTCCAAATAAGTAGGTCATTGGAAAAT